TCCAACATTGCACAGATGCCCGTATACACCGATGTAACATAGGTGGTTTTCCAAATTTTTGCTGTCAGTGGGTTTTGAACTCCCAACCTACCACTTGAAGGGTTGACAACTTATCCACTTCACTAAGTCACCACACCCCCAAAATAACTAATACTAAATAATAATAATAAAATAATAATAATAAGCAATAATAACAATAATAATAATATACAAAAATCTATTCTATATATTTTGTAATTAAAAAAAAAAACAAATTAAGAACATTTAAAATTATACAAGTATTATAAGAATAACTAAAAAAAAATTGAAAACTTGTTGATTAATCTTGCATAGTCTAAATTCTCAAATGTAACTCAAATAATTACAAATAAAAGATAATTTAAAGAAATTTTTTGATAAATAAACAAATAAGAAAAAAAAAAACAAGAATAAAAAATAGTCAAATATTTAGTGTAGAAAAAGATAATTAAACAAATACAAAACATATTAAAACTGCTTAAGAAAACAAAAGACTTTCTAATTATAGTAATCAATATAAAATAAAATGAATTTTATAAAAATATATATAAAAAAGATGTGAAACTATTATTAAATAAAAAAAACTAATGAATATTAATCAATCATCAAAGCAAAAAAAACCAGAAAGAAATATAAAAATAAAAAGAAACCAAATTACTAAAAAAAATAAAAAGACAAAAGAGATAGAAAAAAGTAAGATAAAAAAAAATGATTTGGTTCAATAAAAAGTTATATTGATAATAAAGTAAAACCATTTTCATATAGTCTTTTAGGCTAGTCTGATACAGCTCCCACACCTGAATATTACCCTAACTGATGCAACAGACCATCTCTAGACACTCATTGAAGCAACCAGAATATGTCGAACCAGAAAATTAAATTAAAATACCAATAGAAAATCAGACTTCAGTCAGTGTTATAAATTCAAAAAAGTTTTATTTGCGCAAACGCAAAAAAATGTGAACAAAAAATTAATTTTATACGCGCGCTATATATACGGAGAGCGCTGATATACGCGCAAATTTAAATCTATGTACGCTGCGCTTACTGCGCGAACCCAATTTACATCACTGACTTCAGGTTTAATTCATAGTTAGATATTTTTCTAATCGTTTGCCATTTAATTCAGGCCGCATTAAAATAACAGGTCTTTTTTTATTTTTAACAGATGCCCTACCTTGTTTAGTACGTCGAAAGTGCATCGGATGTAACCCAGGTTTGCATAAGGAGAGCTTCTTCCTGCGTTGCGAATACAAAGTAAAAATATTATATATAATTGGAAATTTTACTTTGTATTCGTAACGCAGGAAGAAGATCTTATGCAAACTGAGTTACATCCGATGCACTTTCGACGTACTAAACAGGGTAAAATCGAAAAAGACCTCTACTCATTCAAATAACTCGGACCAACATAACTTGGCCCGGAATTGTGAAACATTTTAAGCGGTTAAGCGTTTTAATAGATTAACGGACTGAGCCCTGACTATCATACATTTACTGTTTCAGATTTTTCAGGTGCTGTGCCTATAAATCAGAGTCCTCGGATTTTTCTAACAACTAAAATAGCATAAGCAATATCACGAAAACAATCAAACTAAACTCGGTAAATTTTTTTTATTTTGTGTTCTATAGACATGTAGAATTAAAATAAACCAATTTTGGTTGTACGTATTTGGGTATGTGGTTGTCGTAATATCGCTAGTGCTATTTTAGCTGCTAGACAAATCCGAGAACTCTGCTATAAATGTACTGACGTACGTATGTACTTCGCAAAATATATGATATAAGTGCGTGAGAGTGAAAACCTGGAAACAGAGTTAATGATTTACTATGATTGGTTTGCAGGTTTTCACTTATATCATCTCTCCATAAATTGCATCATACGACTTTATATTACGCGAAGTAAAATTTTAATTAAGTTCTAGCGGTGAGAGACTTATCAAATATAAAAAAAGATTAGAACTATCACAAGGATCTATAGTCTGCTGAATTCAAAACTTGAGGTTACCGTATGAGGTATGCCTTTAGCCATGCTATAAACTTAAAAATTTCAAAGCTAGTTTTTCCTTGACGGCTCTCACATAAACACCAAATATGATCTTGTTATCGTTATCATTATATCATAATGGTAATCTTAAAATTCCTATGCTAAGCAACAACTTTAGTAAGTGGGTTTTGCTATTGAATAAACAGAGCTTGACAAGTGATGCAAAATAAAAGTTCTATTACTCTATAAAGTTTAATCAGTACTATGTAAAATAAAATAAATGCAGGCACAACCAAAGTCGAATCAGATGGAACGATCATTGCATGACTAATATTAAAAATTTTTCACAGTCAAATTGCTATTATAGAAAGGACTTGACAATTATGGGTCTCATGCAAAACTTAAGAATTAAATGTCTAAGTGGACAAATATGTTTTCTAAAAATAAGTTCACTCTTAACTCACTAATAGCGATAGTGATGCAGTAAAATCATCCCAATGATGTTACGGCTTAAACCATAACTAGCTAAAGCTTATGTCGTAACTGGTTACGGCAAGGCAATCAATCATTAAGACAATTCTACTGCATTACTACCCATCATTACATAAAGATCCCAGAGCATTATTACTGTGCATAATTTATGCCTGGGTCCCTGGTATTGCAGGAACTATTGTAACACAAGGTTTGTTTTCCCGAAAGAGAAGATTATGTCTTTTTGGAAAACTGTCCTAACCAACCTAAAAAATTTCACTGTTAGATTAGGGTTAGGTTTTTTATTAAGTTAGCCTAGGAAGTGCTTTAAAGTCAACTCTCGCAATAGTCAAAAAATTTTAAAGCTACGTATATCTTTATGGTTATAAAATTGACTCTCGCTATAATCCCACGATATGACTAGTTCTATGTATCTCTCGCTATAATCACATCATATTTCTGCCAGACGATGTGACTATAGCAGGAGTTAACTGTAGTACCAAAATTTCGCAAGGAAAACTTTTTAGTAGTGCGCAGAATGTGATTTCATAGGTAAAATACAGAGTTATGGCTGAGCTTTGGGTTTGTTTTGATTTTTTGTGTTTTTTCTGCGTCATACCTGATCTTGAAATCCAATGTTAGCCTATGACCTTAAATGACCTATATGACCTTTATAACTTGTCATAGGTCATATGGTCATAGCGAAGATTGATATGATTTATGACCTTTTTTAATATATCAAAACAATAACAAGTATATACAAATTTGAGATAAAAGAGGGTTATCTTAATAAAATCTTGAGTTATTGGCTTTTTTTAAAAAATTTCAAAATTGTCCCATGTACAACAATGAATACGAGCTGTCATACAATTTTGTGACTGGTAAAGAGAAACAAAAGTGATTTTTGACATCCGTCAAGACAATTTCTACCCTAGAGTTGTTAAATTATCCAGGTAATTTGTTATAGCTGTATAACAATGTTAGGGACAGTAAATGTTTTTTACTACGTAATTAAAAACACGAGATAATTATGATCTAAATAAAAGGTTTTTTTTACCATCCTAAATCGGGTACAATCTCTTACTACAACTGTACAGAGAACAACACGTATTCGAATATTAACCATCATGAGAAAGAGTATCGCTAGTCAAAGGTTTCTTAAGAATGGCAGAAAAATGATTTAAATCGAGTGATGTTTAGATTTAAGAAAAAATGTATTCGTAACAGCTGTTATATGTAACAATCCAATCATATTTCGAATTTTTAATGATTTTTATTGGCTGTGTTAAGTTACTTGTTACAGATAAGGTGTGTAACTATACTTGTTGGTAAAACTATTGGGATTAGGGATTTGGTACGAATTTTATTATCGTTATATTTGGGCTTTGGGATTTGGTACGTATTTGGGACAATTTAATTATATTTGGTATTTTGGACAATTTAATTATATTTGGGATTTCGGGATTTTGGGATTTTTAGTTTTGCTAGCATGTATATATGTGTTACAGGCTGTTACAATTAGGTTTGTCCTCATCATCCTCTATAATCACGCAGTTTATTCCCAAGCAAAAAATATGTAATTATAAAATTCTCTTATGATCGAAATTTAAGGTGATTATATAGAGTTTGTGATTATATAGGAGGTGAGTACGACTGTATGTCTAAAGGTCATAAACGTCACCTGATTTAAATCAATAAAAATCATTTTTTTGCTATCCTGGGGTTTCTATATGCAATCTGAATTTTCACAAAATTACCTCAAGAATTCATATAGACATTCTCTGACAGTAAGACAGTAATACTAGTTAAACATTTTTGTAGAAATTTTTGGAGGATCCATGTTAGGGCGAAATTTAACCCAACAAAAAAATGGATGCCAAGTGTGACTAACTTGCTTGTGACTAGAACGTGAAGGCTTACAAATTGTTGAGAGGCGTTCTGATTGTAATCTTTAAGTCGTAATTTTTACTTTTTAAGATATTGTATCCATCTCATGACATAATCATTCTGGAATGATGAAGAGATAGAAATTGTTTGTTACATTTGGCGGTAACTTTTGTCATGGTGAGATAACCTAATTGAATAAGTATAATTTCTTTAGATGCGTAACGGTAAGCATTAATAATTGAATAAAAAACTTTGGTTTGAAAATTACCGTTCATTACTACGCGCAAAATTGACGTTAAACGCCAATAATTGTTTTTGTTCATTAATTTAGTTCTAGATTTTTCTATTACGTAAAAGTTAACCCCAACCAAATAAATTCAATTTTTGGGGTGATTAATGTTTTACAAAAATGTATTCGTAACACCCATGTAGTTAGCCAATAGAATTTAGAGTTAGGGTGTAACATCATGTTACAATTAGATTCGTAATAATTCCGCCAAAATTTTCTACGTATACCGATACAAATGCATTAAAATATTAAGTGCATGGAATCTTCCCCATATAAAACAAATATATATATTTTTCCACACTGAGATTAGCGTTTAAATACTCAAGTTGCTTAAATACAATAAAGAAGTTCCTTGAAAAGGGTTATGCATAGAATGGATGGGAATTTAGATAACAGGAATTTTTCATGTAGGACCCTTCAATATTTATAATATTTATGCAATTAATGACAAAGTAATCATTGTCTAATGTGGACCTGCGTGATTATCTAAACTAGATAATACTTAACGTTAAAGCCAAACCGACGAATTTGTCAAATCAGGAATCGTTACGTCTGGGTACTCATATTGCCAATCAATTCTTATATTAGGTTAAAAGTTGTAAGCCTTGCTCGAAAAGGAAGCTCAAAAAGCATCTAAAAGAATCGAACTTGGCTGATTCTGTGATTTGGTAATCATGTAACAAGACTTCGCCATTTTAAAATCGACGCTAAATAAACATCCAACATTATAAAAGCAAGCTTCGAAGAAACAAAAATTTGATTTATCATTCATAAAATCATAAAAAAATAAAACTTAAAAAAAAATTACATTGATTAAAAAAAAAAAAAAACGAAAATTTATATTGATTAAAAAAAAAAAACGAATAAAAATGTCTGATTGGGGAGACTTTTTTTCCACTCTATCGAAGCGCTTGTCATTGAATGCTAATAGCGTTGAAGACGACTCAAAAACTTCTACCGAGACTCGCACGATTACAACACCAGACGGCAAGACTACTACTACCGTAACGACCACCAAAACTATGGAAACTGGTAAAAATTATTATTTTATTTTCATTTTCTTACTATATTATTTATTATTTTATTTAATTCTTTGTACTTGAATGACAGGTAAACCTGTCACTTCCAAGGCTTTTACTGGAGAAGATTCACATCCTGTAAAGCATACTGAAGAGACTAACAAGGCTAAAATGGCACCTACAAAACATACCGAAGAAGAAACTACTAAAACAAAGCCTCCTCCTGTTAAGTCTGAAGGAAAGTCAGATGCCGGTGAAGAAGCCCATAATCATCCTAGCAGGGCTGATCCGGCAAGGTTTGTATTGATTTGGAATCTTCCCATTTTCTTTGGAGCGTCGCTGTTAACATTTCTTCATAATTTAGCAAATGTTCGCCTATTGTAATGGGGGGGGGAGAGTTCAAAGAACATCTTGACCTTATCGGTAATTATTGATCTTAGTTTGGATCACACCTTATCGTTATCAGTTATCAAATGAAATTAATTAACGTTGAAATTAATTGATTTAATTTTCCCCTGCCGATCAAACTTGTGTAACCCTTATGATGTAGGTCATGACTTTTCGAAGGTGGACTCCTACGCACGTGCCACTCCCGCACACGAAACTCATTCTATAGCACAGTTGTCTAAGTATCTTACTTCTCGTTGGAACAATCCTTTAGATAAATTACGTTCAATTTTTGTTTGGATCGCTGAGAACATTTCATATGATACCGATGCATTCTTTTCAGGTACAATAAAATTTCTCGAATGTAATGTACTCAAAATTTATTATACTTATTAAAAAAAATTTTTTTTTTTTTTTTAATAGGAAACCTCAAGCATTGTAGTGCTGAGGAGACTTTGAAACTGCGTAAAGGCGTTTGTGATGGATTCGCAGAAGTATTCACTGAATTGGCTACTCATGCTGGATTGAAAGTTTGGAAGATTAAGGGCAAAGCCAAAGGTTTGTTTTGATATATCAGTTTGTGATCTTTATTATCTCAACTTTCTATTCACGTGATCGATCAATCAGGTGTCCACTATAAACCTGGTGATGATATTGATAAGAGGGAATATGCTCACGCATGGAATGGTACTATATATAAAGGAGAATATCTTCTTATCGATAGTACTTGGGGTGCTGGACATTTAACTAGAAATAAATTTGAAAAACGTTTTGAACCATTTTATTTCCTTACACGTCCAACCTCATTCATATTCACTCATATACCTGATGATCCAAGGGAACAATACTTGTCTCCTCCACTTACTCGAGAAGAATTCCTTAATTTGAATAATGTTAAACCACCATTCTTTGCTGCTGGCATGGAATTCCGTGAATACCTTGGACATTCTATTACCACCAATGATGACTTGATTGAGTTTGAAATTGCAAGATACCATCCTGATGAAGGTCAACCATTGCATGCCGTGCTTGAATGGAATGGTAAAGAGGTTGAAGTCTTGATTCAAAGGGTAGTTGGATATGATGCAAGTGCAGGAAAAGTTTATAAGCTACAAACTGCGTGTCCAAGTCGTGGTGAAGGAAAACTTGATATATATGTGATGTTTGAAGGTAACAAGGTAAGCTAATCCTTCGTTAAATTTCTATAATTGATCAATTGACTTTTCTCTTTTATTAAATTCCTATAATTGATCAATTGTCTTTTTAAACTTTCCTATTCCGTTTATAGGGTCCATTAGCCGCATGTTTCAAGGTCGTAAATAAAGGAAGCGGAAAGAATTATAGTCCATTTGTCAAGACCTTCAGAGTTCCATTCACATTTACCATCCAAAAGCCAACTCATTTAAACCTAAAATTAAATAAAGAATATAAATTTGAATTCGCAATATTTGATCTAAAAGATGAACAACATCACGAATTCTCTTTATTTTCTCCGGAGAAAAATATCCGAAAACTTCATAAAGTGTCGAGATGTGAAGATGGAAGTATTACTTACGGACTTGATACAAAGGTTGATCAAAAGGGAAATTGGAAATTGGTATTTTCTAAGGATGGAAAGCATTTTGATTTTATTGCAGAATACCATGTTGATTAATTATCGTTATGGTGACAGTTTCATGTAATTTAGCGGATGTTTTTTCATAGTTATTTGTCATTTTTTCCATGTATAATTTTATTATTATTATATATTGTGTACATTATTATTATTTTTATGTATCTTAAAAAAATTTCAAAACTTAAAAAAGATTTCGTTTCATATCTATTTTGGAAATAATCTATATTTATTTGGAAATAAATTTATGTGGCTGCATTTTAAGAAAAACTTAAAAATTTTTATAAAATGAAAATTGATAATATAAAGAGACATCATTATACAATGAAAAAAGGAAAATTCAAAGATGCTTCCGGAATTCAATCATGATTAATTAATTTCCATTTTTGGACTTAAAATAACGGTAACGGTAACGATAAATATGATCGAGATCAAGTACAGATCTTGTAATTTCAACCTCTTTTCTCAATAATTTTATCAAACTAAATCATGTCAACAAGAAAAGGTCCAGGGATAAGAATAAGTATCGATAGAGGCGGTACGTTTACCGATTGTATCGGTATGGTCCCAGTTCCAGTTTCCAAAGAATATCCAACAGGAAGACATGAAATTGTAGTAAAACTTTTAAGTGTTGACCCTCAAAATTACCCTGACGCTCCTCGTGAAGGCATTAGAAGAATATTAGAAATTGCCACAGGAAAACCTCACCCGAGAAATAAACCGGTGGACACTTCTCTAATAGGTATTGTATAAAGGAACTTGTACCTTTTTGAAAATTTCAATTACTATAAATTATATATTGGTTTTTAGAGTCAATTCGAATGGGAACGACCGTTGCTACAAATGCTCTATTAGAAAGGAAAGGAGAAAAATGTGCACTGTTGATTACTAAGGGTTTTAAGGCAAGATTTACTTTTTTTGATCTGATAAAGATACGGATTTTAATTATCATAAAATATACTAAAATTTGATTATTTTTCTTTCAGGATTTATTATTGATCGGTATTAATAATTATAATTTGAATACTACTTTCTTATTGGTCGAATTTGTATTCCAACATATATTTATTATCGAAATAAACAGGAAATCAGGCTCGTCCCAAGATATTTGATCTTTCCATCCGTAAGCATGAAGTTCTGTATCAACGAGTTGTGGAAATAGATGAGCGGTATCGTAATTTTATTCATTAAAGACGCTATTTCTCCAACGTGTTTCATGTTGCCAAATAATTTCTAAAAATAGAGTAATGTTGATCGGAGATGAATCACAGCCACCAGCTGATCTAGCAAATGATGGCGCCAATATAATTAAAGGTGTTTCTGGAGAATATGTAAAGGTACTTCAAAAACCAGGTACGTAATCTTTACACATGAATCATACATGAGGTCATTACTACAAGTGCTAAGCATATCTTTTATCGATTTAGACACAAACAAGATAAAGAATGATCTACAATCTTTGTATGAGGAAGGATTTCGAAGCATCGCAATTTGTCTAATGCATTCATACACATTTTCAGGTAGACATAAAATTTGGCATCGTTTCTATATAAAGATTCATTATATAGTAACTAATCATTTTATTATTCAATTAATATGATGAAACAAAAGATCATGAACGTTTATTAGGTTCAATCGCGTCCGCAGTCGGATTTACACATATTTCCCTTTCTTCCGCTATAATGCCAATGATTAAAATTGTGCCTCGTGGTACATCATCAACAGCCGATGCATACTTAACACCATGTATTCGTAAATACATTGATGGGTTCATTTCTGGGTTCGATGAAAACATGGAAAAAAATATAAGATTAGAATTTATGCAAAGTGATGGTGGTCTTGTACCAGTTAATAAATTCTCTGGATTCAGGGCTATTCTGTCAGGACCTGCAGGTGGTGTCGTTGGTTAGTACTCTATCTCATCAATGTTATCGAGTTTTGACGCATTCGCTTGTTGGTTAATTGCTAGTTTGTGGACAGGCTATGCGTCAACATCATTTAGTGAGAATGAACGTGATCCAGTAATCGGTTTCGATATGGGAGGTACTAGTACAGGTTTGTGTTTGATATTAAGACGACAGGCCTTATTCGAAAAAAGTATTATATCATCGTTCAAATTTAGATGTGTCTCGATTTGATGGTCTATATGAACATGTGTTCGAAACGACTACTGCGGGAATAACCATCCAAGCACCTCAACTTGATATAAATACGGTGAAGTTTTTATAAATTGGTTTTGATTTTGACATTAAAAAATATCTAAATTTACACAAAATTTTATTTACAGGTCGCAGCTGGTGGCGGTTCGCAGTTGTTCTTTCGTAATGGATTGTTTGTTGTTGGACCAGAGGTACTATTTATTTGCATAATTAAAATATAGTAATTGAGAACTCAGATACCAGGTTCGAGAATTTGAACCTGTATCATAGGTTGATAATATTAAAACTTATTCAAATATGGTTCAAATTGACGATCTGGCTGAAGCTTAAGTATGTTTACGAAATATCTTAATATATATCGGTTTGGTCTTTTTATTTTTTTTAGAGCGCTGGCGCACAACCGGGACCTACATGTTACAGGTATGCGAATGGTTGCATGTTGTTAAATTCCATTTATTAACATTTACGGACGATATTTATTATGTTGTTTTTTTTTTATATATATACAGAAAGAACGGCCCTTTGACTGTAACTGACGCGAACTTAATGTTAGGCCGACTAAACATTGATTATTTCCCAAAAATATTTGGTCCTTCGGAGGATCAACCGTTGGATGTGGAGGCTACTCAGCTCAAATTTCAATTGCTTGCAGAAGAGATTAATGCTTTTGTAGGAAATGATAAAAAAATGAGTTTAGATGAGATAGCATACGGGTAAGTTTGACAACATAGTTTAAATAAATTTTGGACCAGATAACCGTTAAACATCTTTGATTATTTAAAATAACTAGATTTATTAAAGTTGCAAACGAAGCAATGTGTCGCCCCATTCGCGCTTTGACTGAAGCAAAAGGATATGATACTTCAAAACATATTCTTGCATGTTTTGGTGGTGCCGGTGGTCAACATGCATGCGCAATAGCACAAAACTTGGGTATCAAGAAAATCCTAATTCATCGATATAGTTCAATATTGTCAGCATACGGTTTAGCATTGGCTGACGTTGTTAATGAAGTTCAAGAACCTTGTTTAAAAACTTATTCAGATGACTCGTTACCGTATTTAAGAGAAAAAATTAATGCTCTTTGTGAAACATGCACGAAAGAACTAAAGTCGCAGGGGTTCGATGAATCATGTATTCAACATCAGGTTTATCTTAATTTACGATATCAAGGAACCGATTTTGCAATTATGACCTTAAAACCTGAAGATTCATGGGATTTCGCTAAAACTTTTGCTATGCAATATAAACAAGAATTTGGTTTCAATTTCCCCGATCGAAATATTTTGGTGGATGATATAAGGATCCGTGGTGTAGGCAAAGGTTCTGGAATAACTCAACATGATGTATTTGATGAGATAAAAAGTATTAGTCCTATACCGATATTAGAAGACCAGTGCGACGATATGGTGTCTGTTTATTTTGAAAGTGGACGTATAGAAACTCCACTTTATCTTTTGGAGAAATTGAAAATTGGAAATAAAATTACTGGTCCAGCAATGATCATGGACTCTAACTCAACAGTTCTCGTTGCACCGACTTGCAGTGCGTTGATTACAACTTCACATATTTTTATTACCGTTGGGGATGGGATTAGAATAAAAGTAACTACTGAATCTGATCCAATTCAATTATCTATATTTGGGCATCGATTCATGAGTATTGCTGAGCAAATGGGAAATGCTTTACAGAAGACAGCTGTTTCGACAAATATTAAAGAGAGGTTGGATTTTTCTTGTGCTCTCTTTGGAGCTGATGGAGGATTAGTCGCAAATGGTATGCCCCCATACTGATATTAATTAATTAACACATCTATTTATGAAAAGCATACATGAGTTTTTGATATTTTATTTCTAGCTCCACACATTCCAGTTCATTTGGGGAGCTTAAGTCATGCGGTTAAGTATCAAATGGAGTATTACAATGGTACACTAGAAGATGGTGATGTGATTCTGACAAATCATCCACAAGCTGGTGGTTCACATTTGCCAGGCAAATATTCATATTTTTTGTTAATGAGCAATGATTGTTTATCTCATTGAACTTATTGATTCTTGTTTACAGATATTACTGTAATAACCCCAGTATTCAATGAAGGAAAAATTGTATTCTTTGTTGCATCAAGAGGTCACCATGCGGATATTGGTGGTATTTTACCTGGTATGAATTATTTTATCGAACCCTATTACGAAATTTCAAATAATATGATCTAATGTATGGTAATCTTAAATATCTAGGTTCTATGCCACCACATTCAAAAGAATTATTTGAAGAAGGTGCTGCTATCAAGTCATTTAAACTCGTTTCAAAGGGGATATTTGATGTTGATGGTCTTACTAATATTTTATTGCACGAACCTGCTCGATATCCCAAATGTTCCGGAACAAGATGTCTCCGTGATAACATTTCAGATATTAAAGCTCAAGTAGCCGCAAACCACAAAGGCATTAATCTTGTGAAAGCATTAATTAAAGAATATGGGTTGGATGTAGTTCAAGCTTATATGATGTATATTAGAAAGAATGCTGAATTATCAGTCAGGAATCTCTTGAAAACAATAAGTCATCGATTAGGGCATAATATCTTAAAGGCGGTCGATTACATGGATGATGGAACACCTATTGTATTACAAATAACGATTGATGAGAAGGAGGGGTCTGCTATATTTGATTTTACTGACACTGGACCTGAAGTTTATGGTAGGGAATGCATAACTTTACCTTTTTCTTAAATAATAATAATAATAATAATAATTCATCTATTATTTTATTTGTTATCCCCAAATTTCAGCAAATACCAATGCACCTCCTTCAGTATGTTGTAATTTTATAATAATATCAACCATTTTTATTACCTCAAACACACGTATATAATTATTTTGTAATATTAGGTCACTTTCAGCGCGATTATATATTGTCTCCGCTGCCTTGTGGATGAAGATATTCCACTAAACCAAGGTTGTCTCGCCCCGATAGATATTAGAATTCCTCCAAAGTCTATATTAAACCCATCTGACCAGGCAGCTGTCGTTGGTGGTAATGTGCTAACTTCACAGCGCCTTGTCGATGTTATTCTTAAAGCATTCCAAGCATGTGCTGCAAGCCAAGGAGATTGTAATAATTTGACATTCGGAAAAGATGGAAAAATTGTTGATGGAAAAATGACTGATGGATGGGGATATTATGAAACAATTGCTGGAGGTAAATTATTATTAAATCCAATTTAATAAACTAAAGCATATGAATAATATATTTTGATTTTAGGAAGCGGGGCTGGTGAAACATGGGATGGTCAGTCTGGTGTGCATGTGGTATGTAATTATTTATTAGTATTATTTTATTATCACTCACTTCATATATGGTATATTTGGTATATCTGACTGGTCTTAATCATGATGATTTTTTAGCATATGACAAATACAAGGATAACAGATCCAGAGATAATTGAACGAAGATTAGATCATGCAGTTATGTTACGAGAGTTCTCACTTCGTAGAGGTACATACCTTACAGATTTCACGAAATTTATGAAGCTATTTATCTATATTTATAACGATTTTGATTTATAATATATAGGTTCCGGTGGTAAAGGTTTGCATAGAGGTGGCAATGGAGTAATCCGTGATCTTGAATTCCGTGAGCCACTTCAAGTGAGTCTACTTACAGAAAGAAGAGTATTCCATCCATACGGCTTAAGAGGTGGTAAAGATGGCGCAAAGGGATTAAACCTTTGGATTCGTAAAGGCCAAATTAAAGGGAAAGATCGAGTACTTAATTTAGGTGGTAAAAATAGTTTTAAAGTTGGTGTGGGAGATCGAGTTGTGATTTGTACGCCAGGTGGTGGTGGATGGGGAGTGCCAGTTGATAAAACTAATGATGATATGGACATTGATGAAGCAATTACGAAATTTTTGTAATTTAAGATTGCATGTTATATTAATAATTTAATATTTGATCATAATTAATAGAGGCCTGCATGGGCTTAAAAAATTGTACTTTTGTCAGCCCGCAAAATAAAATGTTTTTCAAAAGTTTGGCCGCATCTTTTGGTATACCAGGCTCGCAATTTTGTGATGTTTTTAAATTTTTTAATTTTGGTCTGGTCCGTGCAGGCCACTAATAATCAATATATAAATATAATGTTACAAAATGTAATTTTACATTAAAATAATACTTGAGCCATTCCAAATGACTTATCAGTCATTTGGACTAGGTGCTGAAAAAAGGCCCAAATTGACAATTTTTTCCAAAGTAATTTTCTTGTATAAATTAATTTATAATAAGGTTGGGATCATTTTTTACTTAAAACACAAAAAGTTGTATTAATAAAATTATGCTTAAAATTTGCAATTTCGTATAATTTATTACGATGAAAAGTAGTAATTCTGATTGGATAAAATTACGGAATTCTTTTCGTATGTGAACTCTGAGGTACGTAGTAAAATTAGCATAATTAGCAAACTAAAATTTATTATGAATTTTTTTTTTTTAAAAAAAAAAAAAATTTATCTTTAAATATTTTTTCAGTAAAAGTCATCTAAAATATGCTTATAATCTCATCTACACTCAGAAGAGGAATCTAAATAAAAGCTTTAATTAATTCAACATTAATACTTTGTTATAATAACGGAACGAATTCAATACAATACACCATGTAATTACAATATTATCGATATTGTTTTATAGATTAAACAGGGGTAATTGACGTTAAAATCTAAATAAATATGTATCCCATGTGGACAGCAGATTGCGATGATAATTGTTTTGCGAAAGATATATCGTATTATCGTTAGAGAATTTCTATTTGTACACGAGTGTATGTATGAAACCACCCTTTGACTTTTAGCAAAAAAAATTCCTTGCACAATTTTGACATAATCCATACTCGTTCAAATCCGAACTTACGCATACCCTAACTATGAGCTTTTGTTTGAAAAAAATTGGGTTGTCATGTTACACAAAGTTGTAATTCAATAAATTTCTTCACACTTTTTTTCTCACACTTTTTCTCACACTTTTTTCTTTGTGCCGCGCAGTTTATCTTCTTTTTTTATTATTTTTTTTTCTCGTTTATCTACCTACTTTAGTTACTCGTTTATATACTTTATTTACTAGTTTATATACTTTATTTACTCGTTTATATACTTTATTTACTCGTTAATATACTTTATTTACTCGTTTATATACTTGTTTATATACGTTTTTTTTACAAGTAGACGTTTCTTTAAACGCGTTTTTTACCAAAATCTTTGTCTGAAACAGTTTAAGATAAGTGTTTCATTCTTTACACACTTGTGTTCAGTTGCTGCACCTATTTAACCTTTCGTTTCTGAAAGATTCCTACTTGGTTTCTTTCAAAGGTAAGTAGTTTAATCTTTTATCTGGTCTTATTTATTATGACACCAATGGTGAGTTTACTTACGTCGCCTACGGTAAGCTTGCTTGCGGTGCTTGTGATAAATAAGATTTAGACTCATCCCTCCTGGCGAGGCCCCTTGCCCTGGTTGGTGTAAGCGCGAGGTTTTAATCCTCCCAGGGCCAAATCATAATGTTTCGTTTTTTACAAGCCAGGTTGTAAAAAACAATGAAACATTTACACCATTTTTTTCTGAGATATTCTTTTTGAATATCGATGACGATTAAAACCAGAGTTTTTAGTGAGTAAGAATCTCACACTGTCTAGGAGGTAACTCCTAGTCGCCTTTTGAAGGTTTTCTCTGGCTAAACAAAAAAAAAAAAAAAAAGTCAATACGATATGATATAATTTAGCTAATATAACAATTTTTAGCAATTGTCACGTTTTATTCATTATTATACGGGGTTAAGTTTTTTTTTTTTTATCATTTGTTAGATATTAATCTGTGGGTTCGAAATTATTATTGAATTTAACATGTTATTAATTCTAAAAAATTTACATTTAGCGTTAGAAACTCTCCATTCAATGATGATCCACAAATCACTTAATCGTCATTATTAAATATACGTGATATCAGCGTACGTTTTATACACCAAAGTTGTTTTAACTCCTATTCGGTTTATCCCGTCTCTGATCTTTTAATCAATTCTTGAAATTCAATCACTGGGAGAACTTTGCAAAGAATGAAAAAGTGAAATAAGAACAAGAAAGTAGTAAAAATTTTATATTTTATCTTGCCAGTTTATCATGATGTCATGTGATTTATTTAGCTATCGTTACAACTCTGTATCGAATTTAAAATCAACTCATAACTCATGTTACTATTAAATTTATCGTCCGTACAGGTTCGACCGTTCAAATATGGTTGATCTGCAATGCTGATTCTATGGATACTAAAAATCAATAACCTCAACTCCAACTGTCCCTACTGTATCGCCATAAAAATTTCATTGCCACGATCAAGAAGATCAAAACGTTCATTTTTTTAAAATATCTCTTATTTTTCAAAGAATTGCATAAGAAACCACCTTTTGCGTTTTAACAAAAAATTTTCCTTAAGAAATTTTACTATATGTTATTCTAATATTTAACTGTTTTATAATCACTAACTGTAACTTAAATGAACTTTAAGATTTTTTTATGCGTCACAACACTGACATATGACAGTGAAATTTTTACGGCGATACTGGAGAAGATGTTCCTAACGAACCACTCATGTGAATTGCATTGTCCCCATAAATTATCCGGATTCGTAGAGGTCGCACCTTTTTTGTCATAATTCTGATATCGACATATGTGGATCTGGAATTAATACGTATTTAATACGTATCAAAATGCTACATACGTATACGTACGTATCAATTTTCGCTATATAAAAATTTGGTAATACGTATTAAGTAGATATTTACATAATCTTAAACCTCTACAATTGAAGGTATGTTTTTTTCCTGCATCTAATTATGAAAAAATACAAAAATCTGTAGGAATTTTTAATTTTTCATAAATAAATGTAGAAAAAAAAACGTAACTTCAATTGTAGAAGTTTAAGATTATGTTTTATCACAGGATATATTACCATTAAGGCTAAATACCTGTTTAATACTATGTTTTATAGTAAAGTCGAGATTTGCAAGTTGTTACACGAAAACATTATACGTATAACATTCGAAATAATATAGGTCGTATCATCACTTCTGATACGTCATATTTTTTAAAATAAATTAAAAAGCTTATGACTGTTATTTTAAACTATACTTTTAGGATTATATATACTATAATATTAAGGTTTAAAAATAAATTTATTATATT